TTCGTCCAAGAAGACAAACGCATAAATATGTGTGCATTTATAAATGTATATATGTGCATAAATATGTACGATTGTTCTGCCTTCGTCTTCCCCTCGCCGTCCTCCAACCACAGACAAATTATTAAATTTCTGCGAATTGCCACGACGCCACCAAAATTAACCCTTGGTTGACGAAATATTTAGGTTTTCGCATAAGTTTACATTTAATAAAGCCATACTCGTACATTTTATATGGAGAAGAATATTAATTAATTTAAAATTCTGCATGTAACCATGTTCTCGACGATACATCTAACTTTCATCAAGATTAACCATAAAAATTGTGCTTCATTAACAGTTGGAACCAGCTGAAACCAAAAAAACTATGTCCGCTAAAAGGGTTAAAAACCAACTGGAATTGACATTTTTTACACGCATACATGCATACATTCATATACACATGTACAGTGGAGTAGCACTAGCTTGGACATTGCATTGCTTGTACTTTGATGTGTTTGAATCTTTTATGGTTCTGAAGATTTGCTTACGGATGAAAAATATTAAAAATCGTCCGTGCATATATGTAAATATACTTTTATAAACGCTTTGAAGTATAGAAATTTTTAATATTAAAAAATAAATAAAATAATTTTTTTGTATATATGTAAATGGTGTTCAAGGCACATTGACCCACCTGTACAAAAATCGTGGCGCGTCATGGACAAAAATTTTACAATTTCGGACCGAAAAATGTGAAAACGAGCTAAGTTGCCACGTTACATCTGTGAACTTCCGATAAAACCACATATGTTTGTGATTTTAGAAGTTTTGATTTTATTAAAAAAAATTAATGTATTTTCCTGCAGAAAACGTACACTTTTATTTAATGTTTATTAAAATGACACTTTAAAATACTAGTTAATGATTGAAATATTGGTATGGAACAGAGAAATAGAGTGTTTTGTCAAAAATTACCAAAAATTGCCAAGATTCGAGATAACTTATTTTACTGGTTATAGAGAAATAATTGCCACTTTTCACTTGGCTGGCCGAGATTTCTTCATTTTAAGATTTTAGAATTTTTGTGTCGGATTGACAAAGTTGCGCTTGTTGGTGATGAATTTGCGGGGAGATGTGCTGCGGCTGTTTTTATGAATGAATTTACTTGGCCTTGAGAAATATGCGCATGCGTTTAGGAATGAAATAGTTATTGTTGTATTTGAACATGCGCGTAATTATGTATGTGTGTATGTATGCTGCCTTGAGTTGTACATATGTACATTTGTATATATGTGCGTGGTACTTAGACAGCAATATGCACGTATGTATGGATGTACTTATATATGCATGCAAAAACGTTGTCAATTAATGGAGCATGTAGTACATATAGATACATATGTATATGTATGCGTGGGAAATGCATTTTCATTTGACTCCAAAACTATTGGGGCATATTAGTAAACGAAATAAAGTCGACTCTTAAGTTAAAGTTTGTCAGCACCAAATAAGAAGAAAGTTAGTATGTACTTACATATATGTAATATTATGTGCAGGCGCAAGAACGTTATCAATAAATGATTTTGGAGTATGTGTATGGGGTACATATTTACATATGTAAGTACATACATACATACATTCAGCTGCCATCAACAAATTATGTTAATTTATTTTTAATGATTTTCATTTAAAATATAATTCAATCTGGAACAGAAACCACAATAATAAAAGTTTAAAAGCTTGCACAAATTGCAAACAAATGAATCAACCTTCAAGAAATGGTCATCCAAATTTTTTATTTGAATATTTAATATATTTTCGGGTATGCAGTATTGTAGTCCATTCAATTATATAATAAGAAAGTGCAAGTTTCAAGTTGTTAAAAATTACCGTTGATTTTTTAGATTTTTTTGTTGGGGTGTTGCTGTTTATTTTTCATACAAAAAAAATTGGGTTCATGTGTTATATGGAAGAAAATGCGAACACCCTCCACAAAAAAAAAATTCTAAGAAATCAACGGTAATTTTTAACGACTAGAAACTTGGACTTTAGTGTACTTGATTGAATGGACTACAAAGCTGCATACCCGAAAATTTTCTAAATATTCTAATTAAAAATTTTGAAATTTTTATAACAATTTTTTGAAGTTTGATTTATTATTTTGCAATTTGTGCAAGCTTTTAAACTTTTATTATTGTGGTTTCTGTTATAGATTGAATTATGTTTTAAAGGAAATTATTAAAAATAAGTAAATAAACATAATTTGTAAACAATATCATTTTGAATTTCGTTGCTAATTAGTTGATCGCATCTGTATGTACTACAAGCATCCATATGCGCATGCCTGGGAAATGGATTTGCATTTGACTCCAGAACTATTATTCACAAATAATATCTACGAGTATTGCAAACTTTGAAGTTAACAAGTGCATTGCTTTGTACATTTTTTTTGTTAATGCGTCCATCTTTAAAATGAGTAAAGAAGCGAACTTGAACAGATGCTTTTTAAGTTTTTAGCAACATTAACTACTGAATAAATTATATTTAACAAATGGTCATGCAGAAATGCAAGTCAGCAATTTTACCTAATATAAAAGTACATTTAATATAATTTAACTATATTAATTTATGTAATTTTATTAAAAAAATATACATGAATACGTTTCTGCATTCACATGCAACCTAGCAACACATAGCTAGACACTTGCAACAAATATAACATTATCATAACAGAAATTTACATTTTTCTCTGTTAACTCTTCTTGAAATGTTAATCGCGCTGTGGTGATATTCCATGGATTTATTTTTCAGCCAAACAATTTTACGTTCCAAAAATTTGCACCTTCTCTATCTATCTAAGTTCTCTGCTTATGCGGTCAATTTCTTCTTATTATTATTTGACGCTTCAACCGTTTGTCGGATCAAGAACCTTCGTAAATTGCAGTGCATACTTTGTGTGTGGTATTTACATTACATTCATAAGAAATAACGGTACTACCACAGGTGATAAAATGTGATGTGCGAGATAAATATCCTGTCAGAGCTGCCCGCTTTTAAATATTTCTAAGTGACGCATATCATAGCTTTTCAATGGAACTCAATAAGTCATAAATCAGCTAATAGTAGTTAACTTAAAATCTGACTAATGCACTCAAACATTGTTAGCATTGATTTTAATTTATCATCCAATACCCAACATTTAAGGTTTCACTATTTGCTAACCAAGTAATTTGTTAGCACAATTCATGGAGAAAAAAAAATGGTCCGACATAACAAACTCATGCTCACAAAGAAACATTGGCTTGCATTGCCATGCATTCAGCAATAATAACTGCAACTTAAAATGGAGTGCATTCTGCCAAGAAATTCAATAAAAATCATTTTTCTCAGCATTGCTGGAGATTTTCGTACTACACAAAATCCAGAACATTTATGCCACCATGCAAATACTACACAATTTGTTTTCTTTCCCCATCGCTTTTGCATTTACTCACATTTACATACATAGAGGCAAAAATGCATGACTTAGTGTAGAGTCAGTATAATAGTGTGTAATGATGCGGCGGTATTAACCATTTGCTGGATTCCAATTTGTTACATGCCAAATTTCCACATTTTTTGCTTTTGTGTCATAAGCAATTGAAAGTATGCAACGGATGAGTGGAGGGCGAATGATATGAATTTTTGAAATCTTGTGAAATTGTTGCATATTAGTCAGGGGGAAAAAAAAGAAAATTTTCGCTATTTACTTTTAACATTTTAAAGTTTCTTAAATTATTTAGATTAAAAAATCTTAAAATTTCAAAAATTAATATGTATTGGATGCCAACGTCCGTTTATTAAAAAAAAAAATTACAATTAATAATCGTTAGGGACCGAACTAACAGTTATTGATGAAAACTGTCATGGAAAAATTCACTATGAAAGAAATTTTCTACAACTAAGTGATACATACCAATCGATTTTTTTTCCCGAGACTCAAATTTTAAAATAAATTTTAATTTCACAGTTTTATGCAAAATTAAAAAAAATAACACTTAGTTTTGATATGTATATTATAAATCAAAAAAAAATATTATTTTTGATTTTTATATTATACGTCTTAGATATTTAACAAATGGTGAAGACTTTTATTTATAAAAATCATCAATATCAATCAATCACCGACTTTAATTTTTTGAATCATTGGTATAAAAGTCATTAGCATTTATCGCAGTTAAGAAAGTGTTGGGAAACGAAATTTTACTAAGACTTATACAAATGATTTTTATAAGTGTGATTTAAAAAATAAAGGTCAGTGACTGCTTTTTATTTATGACTTTTATAAATAAAAGTTTTCGATAACTGTTATCTGAGACATATAATTTAAAAATCAAAAATAACTGTTATTTGCTATTATTTAGATAAAAATCAAAAATAATTGTTATTTTGGAATTATGAAATAAAATCTGTTATTGAAGGAGTAATAAAATAAAAGTAAAAAAATAATTGTTAAAGAACGATTTTTTTTAATAAATGTTGTAACTGTTACGGTCCCTGTTATTTTCATTATAACTGTTAAAAACGGGCAAAAAAAATAAATTTATACCTCGTAACAACTATATGCTTTAACTTTTGTTGAGCTTGGGGCCACTTTTAAACGAAATTATTATTTTTTGTTTTTTTAATATGTAAATTGTCGTTTTTCATAAATTCTTTTTATTAAAACGGGCTCAAGCTACGTGAAAATTGTAAATAATTTTGATCGAGAAAGAATCAAAAAGTAACGACTTTGCAATGATTTAAAAATACAAGTCTTGTTGTTGAGTGCTTATTTTCAGTCCCTGATATTAATGGATTGGGGTGCGAAGTGAATTGTGGACGGAAGCTGGAGGCTTTGAAAAGTTTGTTTTTCAGGGTTATTAACTAAATCAGCGAAATATAGAATGCAATTATTTGATTGTGGATATAAATTTAGACAATTTTTAACTTTGTGTATTTGTCCTTTTTTCTAAAACTATTTAACTTTCATCTTTTCCTTCCAGTGTCGTTACGTCCGTCTCGGTAAAACTCAATGGTGATGAACCGGAATACACTGATGCCCTGGGACACAAGGTACCAAAACCACAGCCTTCACTTCAAGTGGCCAGCCCCATCGATCTACTCAACCCCGATCGCTACGAATTTTACACGTTCGATGAGAATGGTGAACTGGTGAAACGTCTCATGACAATGGAGGAAATACAGAGTATTGTGGCGAATGGAGATGGTGAAAATTCATCTATTATACAGCACGTGTCCAAAGATGACCGTGAACCGGACAAAAATGTTCAGGATATAGTCGATAGTGTACAGAACGTACTCAACAAGGAAGTGGAATCGAATAAAAATGTGTCCAAGGATGCACTACCTGTACTGGATACGCCCGATGTTACCTCATCGTGGTCCATGATTTTACCCGCCATATTCGGTAATGGCGGCGGTGATATTTTCCCACAACAGAAACCTCAACAAATTGTTATGACACCCGATTCCGAGCTGTTGGAGACTTCAACAAATTCTCCACCCCCCACGCATGCTACGAAACGTCCGAAGCCGAACAAACGTAAACCGGGCCAAAAACGTAAGCCAACAACACCGGCGCCTACTACAACATCCACCGCAATTACGCCACAAGTTGTGCAAGAGGAATTAGGCCCGAATGAGTCTGTCTACACTGGCATGCAACAGTACCAAAATGTCGCTGCGAATATGCAACACTTCGATGGATTCTCACAATTGCAAATGCAACCAATCTATCATAAACTGCCTGAATATACCCAAGTAGAGACAACAACTCGACGCGTGTTCGTCAACAATCAAGAAATAATACAAAGTGTGGCCACAGCACGTCCAACGTCGGCAGAAAATGACGCCGAACTGAATGAAAACTACGGCAAGCGGCCACCTGTGGTGGTCTATAAGCGACCAGTGGCACCAAATCGCCACAAAACGCCGAACGGCGGTGAGGGCTCGGGTACGACCAAGAAACCACAAGGTGGACACAACAAGCAGAAGATAAAGAAGAAGCCGACTGTAGCAACAACGACAACCACAACAACACCGAAACCCGAACCGACAACCACCACAACAACTACTACTACAACCGAGCCTACTACAACATCTACAACAACAACAACTACAACGACACCGGAGCCGCCAACAACTATAGCACCTGAACCGATAACAAGCACGACCACAGCCAAACCAAGCTCTACCACACCAAAAAAGAAGAAGAAGAAACCAACACGACAGCCCGGTCAAGGCAACGGCAATGGCAATGGTAAGCCACATCCAGCTGGAGAGAAGCGCAAGCCCGCTAACGGCAAACCGCGTCCCACTGGCGCTGGCCAACACAATACACACAGGCCACAACAGGCCGGTAATGGCGGTGCACAGCACACAGCCAACAAACACCAACCAGCCGCCGATGTACCTGTGACTACGCCCGCAACGACTGAACCAACTATCAATAAACACAATATCACTGTGAGCCACAAACCGAATAGGACGCGACCGCGGCCACACAAGAAGCCGGCTGGCTCAACAACTACCACAACAACACCGGAACCAACCACAACCAGTACTACTACAACCACTACACCGGAGCCTACCACCACCACCACGACAACGACGACGCCAGCACCAACGACAACAACAACCACTACCACTACTACCCCAGCGCCCACTACCAGCACTACAACAACAACCACAGAAAAAGCTTTGGTTGTGGAGCATTTCCCTGGCTACCATCCCATACACGTGAAGCCTTCGCATGCCAATAAACGTCCTGGCGTATCTGCGTATCCAGTGCCTGACTACAAACCTACAGAGCATGATGTGCATGAGACCGCCGTTGAGTCTGACCCGGTTGATTATGGACAATTCAAGCGCAAGCCTTTGCCATCACTCGCACAAATTCAACAACAGCACCACAAACCAGCCGACAAACCAATTTCGTTAGACGAACAAAATACGTTGTCATCTTTCGATCAAATTATGGAGTCTCTTAAGGAAGAACTTTCGAACAATGCCGATGCTGATATAAATGAGTCAAGCGCTTCTGAAACACAGCCTGTTACACAAAAACCTGTAGGAGTAGAGTCGTCAAAGGAACCTGGCACATCTATAAGCGAGCCCATGGATGGAACCTCAGCTGCTCAGTCTTCAACAACCAGCAGCCAAGAGGCATACGGAGAAAAGGAAGTTAAAAATGATGTAGTGCACATCGTTAGCGTGGAGCAAGAAGATGTGGCCACAGTGGAGGACGTATCAGTTACCACAATAAGTCCGCCAACATTGGCGGCGACGTCCGAAGAAACAACGAAGAAAACAACCGTGCAGCCAATATTGGTTGGCACCACTGAGGAGCAAGTTGAGCAGGAATTATCTGATACCACAAATGTTTCAGAGTATTCAATTGAAGAAAAAGAACAAAGTGCTAGCGAACCTATCAAATTGGAGGTACTTGAAGAGCAGGAGACCGATAATAACGGTGAAGATTTGTCACATGTTGTTAAATTTGAGCCACTTTATGCTGACGTACAAGAGCCAATAGTCACCGAAATAACAACTGCATTGCCCGATGACTTAGATGACACAACTGTGGTGGAAGTCGTAGACAAAGTGGTTGTACAATCAGCGCATGGTATTGCTCAAACAATTGAGGAGAGTAGCACTGAGTACCACATACCAGCAGTAAAGGTTACACAAAAAGTAGAGACTATGATAGCAGAGGATAGTTCATCTACAGAGCCTCCACCACAGGTAGCCGATCTAAAACCGCACTTAAATATGGAAGTACTTAAACCGATTGATCAAATAAATATGTCTGACTTCCAAACGCAGGCGGCAACCGTGGCTTCAACACTGGTGGATGGCACCAACACAATTACATCTAATGTAGATATGAGTTCCAATGAGACACGCAGTGAAATCGATTTCCTCTTATCCGATGTTATACAACAAATGACTGGACATAAACCAGACGAAGATCGTCCAGACCCAGTGGAGGATAGCAACCGTTTGACAAACTTTGCGCAACTTAATTCATCCTTCTTACTGAAACCAGCGCAGACGGCAATTGAGCAGAGCAATGTGGACGAGGAAGGTTTACCAGCCTACGGAGGTGTGCAAATTACAAGCAGCGCGCTGAATGCGCCACCTCTCAAAGAGCCTGCAAAAGCGCCCATTGTAGAGCCCTTAGTAGTGCCTGCGGCAGAACCAGTGAGTGAAGCCGATTATAACTTGACGACAGAGACTGATAACGCAACAGAAGTTTTGGTATATGCTTCGCAGGAAGACGTTAAAGCAGAGGACCAGAATACCAGTTTCAAGCCAGCTAGTACAGATAAGCTAGAGAAGGAAAACAAGGCCGAACTTTCAAAAGAAAATTCAGCTAAAGAAGATACCGAACTGGAAAATGAAAATCAGGAGGAAAGTGTGGGAAAAGATGAAGTGGAGCAAATCTCTCAAACGCAATCGGAAAGTTTGAACCAAGAAGAAAAGGAACATGCCGTAGAAACACAATCGGAAAGCTCGGAAGGCGTGGAGCAAAATACAGACATAGAATCGAGTAGTTCCGAGAAGGACCAAGTACAAGATAAGCTCGCAGAAAAGCTTGAAAATTTACAAAACAATGAAGGTCTGGGGACAACCGAGGAAACTTATTATGAAACTACGGCAGTGAAGGAGCAAATACCCTCTTTGTCGCATATTTACGCCATACAACAACAAGAATTCGAGACTAAAGAAACTGAAAACCAAGCGCAAAAAGACAAAGAAGACCCACAGTCTGAAAAAACACCGATACAACAGGTTTCAATTTCTAAGGAACCACTTAAAGAATCAGAGACAATTATATTAGAAGAACAATTGAGCGCCGAATCCAGCAACGAAGAGAAGAAAGAACAAATGACAAGCGCCGAAGTGATAATTACGGAAATAGCTAAGATTAACGAGGCAGAAAGGGAGAAGAATGGTGAAAAGAATGGCGAAAAGAATAATGGTGGTGAAGAAGTAAGTCAATCTGAAAAGGAAGAGGATGAGTTGAATGCAACAACAGAAGACTTCACTGCGCAAACTGAGAAGAATTTAATAGACGAAACAACACCAGCAGAGGTACAGAAATTAGCTGAGGATCAAAGCACAGTTGAGCAAGTAGAAGAAATGCCTATTGCAACTGAAAAGCCAACAATGCAATCAACGGAGATTTCAAACGAAACTGAGAAGACGCAGATAACTAGTTTAGCAGAAGACGATATTAGAAAGGAAGATACTGAAGAAGATGTTAGCGAATCGAGTAATAAAGACGCTGTGGAAAGTGCGAATCATGCCAGCGAAAAGGAGAGCGATGAAAAAGACAAAATCGAAAATAATGCAAACGAAGCTACAACTGATTCGGAAGATCTCAATGAAAAGGGTGGGTCCACAGAGAAGGATACCAGTGAACAGCTTGTCGAAAGTAGTTCCACATACATCGATATTACTGCTGAGGAAAGTCACGATATTAGAATGAAACCCGATTCCGCGGATATAACCGACAACTCAAAGGACAAGGAAACTACGAGCAATGAAGACGATAATGTAACTAACGCAGCCAATATACAGCACCACTACACCAACGTGCCACCAGCTGAGCAAACAGAATCGAATGATAGACAGGAACCCAGCAGTGAAGTAGCAACCGAAATTGAAGTGACTACGGCGCTGCCGGTCGAAGAGATTATCACGACCGAAAAGAATGCTGTAGAACATGAAAATGAAAGCGCAGAACATGAAACCGTTACTGATGTTACGATAATGATATCTGATGAAATCGACAGCACAGAATCCGATGAAGATCCCTATATTAAACTTGGTGAGACCACTATAAAATACACTGAAAGCTTGAACAACGTTGATGTATCGGACAACGTCATGAGCGCCGAAGAAGAGGCAACAAGCACTGAAGGCGCTGATATTGAGCTAACGTCACCAACGCTACCACAACCGATACAAGTGGATGTGTCGGAGTCAACGACGCAAGATGTGCAGCAGTCTAACGAAGAGGCTGAAGAGGAATCCCAGCCAACGCAGTTTGCTGAAAACGTAGTTGCAGCAGAGCCATCAAAAGAGTCAGATGCAATTACAAACACATCTGTGGACGAGGCGAACACGTCAGATTCGATCGAGCAAAGCGATGTAACCGAACAAGCTCCAACTCAGCAAACAACAAATCCGATTCAAACTTTTATTACACAACAACGACCTCAAGTGCCACAACTCAACAATGAATATCGTCCTGATCCGCAGAACCCAGCAGATGTAGGTGACCAAACCACTTACATTATACCCAAATTCCCCACAAGCCCAGTGCTTGCTGCGCTCTCAACACCCGTGGGAAATGTGCCATCTTCAACGGCCACCAGTTCAACCACTTCGACCACTAATGCACCCAAATCTACGTCAACGACTACCAAACGCATACACACACTCAAACCGGTCTCGTATTATAATAAGCACACTGGCATAAATGCGCCGAAACCTATAGAGCCAACTAAAATCCTGCCATACTCAGCCAACACCGCCCAACAACGTCCGATGCAGCGTCCAGCACAACTGAATAACCTGATGGCCACATCTACGCAGGCAACCCGACCGCCTGTCAAAATGGACCCCAGTCCCACAAGCTCGAAGGGGCTCGAAGCCTCCGTTACGCACTTGGACGAAGATCTGCAGTCTTTCGTTAAACTCTGCAATGAGTTGGCCTTCAGTTATTGGAAGTCCATCACATCGGAAAAGATTAGCTCCGCGCGCAGTCTGGTAATATCGCCGTTCGCACTAACCTCCATGTTATCAATGGTCTTCCTCGGCGCACGCGGCAGCACATCAGGCGAAATGAACGAGGTGCTGAAATTGGATGATATGGTCACCTTCAATCCGCATTTGGTATTCAGAAATATTACCGACTCTGTGGAGCGCGCAACTGACAGCGACATTGCCACAACAGCCTTCGTGCGCGAAATATTCAGCGATCGCGCAAATGGCAAAATACTACAATTCTTCAAGGAAAAGACACAACAATTCTATTCGGGACACGTAGAGGAAGTGAATTTCCATGTGGTGAACGACGTCATACGCCGTCGCACGAATCTGCTCGTTAAGCGCCACACAATGGGCAAAGTGCTCGAGTATTTGCGCACAAATAGTCTCTGGGTTAACGGCCCACTGGCAACCATTTCGGCTAATCTCTTCCAGACAGACTGCCGACGCGGCTCTACGCAATTGACTGATGGCGAAATGTTCTTCCAGGTGCATCCTTCTGTGCGCCAACGTCGTCTCATACCCATACCGGCAGTTTTGTACAAGAGCGGCTTCGCCGCTGGCTATGAGCCTAAGTTGGATGCCACAATTGTGGCATTTGGCAGCATTCAAGATACCGTTAGCACCGTTTATGTTATGCCCGGCCACCAAAGTACACTTTCGCCGGCGGAAAGTTTGGAACGGCTTGAACGTGAGCTCGTGGAGCAAGCTATTAGCAAGAACGCCTGGAGTAATATACTCACCTCGTTGATGGACCGGCCTGGCATGGAGGTGCAATTGCCACGTTTCTCGCACAGATCGTTCGTGAACGCCTCACTGGGTTTGCAGAAAATGGGTCTGAAGGGACTTTTCAAATCTGATTTCGCAGACTTGCGCGGTCTTACTGGCTCCTCGAATCGCGACATTTACCTTTCGGACGTCATACAAATTAACACCTTCAGCACTTGTGGTGAGGAGAAGATCGCCGATCATCATCACGTCGAAATGTATCCAGCACCACCGCTACGCAAACGCAACAAGGACTTGGGCGCTAATGATGATGGCGCCTACGACTCATCTGAGGCTGTCATTGACTTCGGCTCGCTGGTGCATGACTCTGCACTCGGTCGTGGCTTCTACGATGACCTGCTGGATCCGAAATATTTGGAGTTGCCATTATCTCTGCGTCCACGGCAGGCACGCGTACCCGACGCGCCACGACTACGCTTCGACAAACCCTTCCTCTACTTCGTGCGCCACAATCCAACGGGCATCATACTCTTCATGGGTCGCTTCAACCCACGGCTACTGCCGTGAGAGAAGCGCTAGAGCAGCTGCAAATCGTCGGATTTTATGCACACGTGCATTCACATTCATAACTCAGAAGACTAAAAGCACGGAAAATGGCATTTCAATTTGATTTTGGTGGCACTTTTTTATATGAATATGTTTGCACGTGAATATCCACATACATATGCGTCTGCCGCAGCCGCATTTGTTTGCATAAATGCGAACATAAGCCAAACTAGCATTTTTTTTGTTTAAATGAGCATTTTCGTTAATATGTCGGGCGCATTTTTAGTGAAATTTTATTTGTAATTTTTTTTCTCGAAAATGTTTCATTTTAAATTCGAACAATTAGCACTTAAGTTTAAATAAATTATATTAATTCTATGAAGTACTTAGTACCGTTCGACCAAACGGATGGTAGATGCCAATTGTCTTTGTTGTGCCTTAATCACGAATCATCCTCATCCGCATCCGCAGCAGCATGCCCCACACCCACGCTCGCCAGAATGCAAAGTTTGTGTGGCCACTCCCCTTGGATTCGAGATTGATGTGCGACATGCAGCTCTATTAATTTGTACGCTATTAAATTTAAGTTACGAATTACTTTTTCTATGCAAATTATTGTTAAAATAAATTCGATTTTTTTTTTTATGTAATTTTTGATTTTAATATTGTTTGTAATATGGAAGCACACACTACTAAATATAATTTGTTATCATTTAAGTTGATATCATATTGAAACACTATCTACGTATTAAAATTATTTATTATTTTTTTATTTTTTAAATCGCTGGAGGTAATAAGTGATGATTTCTGTCTCGCTAATTTATGTACGTAGTAAAAATTATAGCATATTTACATAAACATGCATACACCCATGCTCAAACACTTAAGAGGCATAATTGAGTGTGTTTTATACTTAAGTAATCATTATATATTTAAATACGAAAGATTAATGTATATCTTTAAAAGAAATTACAAATAAAACACAAAAATTATTTAAAATAAAATCAACTTGTGGTTATTATTAGGATCTGTGTAAATAGTATGTAAGTACATTAGTGTGGTCTCCTCAATACCCCAGGCGGCGCAAGAAACTCTCCTACAAATTTCACCCATAGACCGGCCAAACAAAACAACGCTTGCGGTAAACAGCACTCTGACTAGATGCCGTCCATTTCACTGTCTGTCGGTTTACGAATAAACCAAAGCATTGTTGGGTGTCAAAGAGCACATCGCGGCCGAGGCGGGGCGGAAGCACAAAAGGTGATCCACCATCTCATACTCTTCAAGGCAGGATGGGCAAATGGAGTTGTCATCTAGTTTTTCCAAAATGCTGCCAATGATTTGGAGGTCTTGTATTCCACCTGAGATGTCCACGATAGTTTTGTATCCAGAAATACTCCTAGAAACTTCAGTTCGAAGAAGTCTGAATTGTGACTCCTTTAAGTGTGAAGGGAATGAGACCATCCGAAGTTCTTCTCCTTACCAAGAGCACAACACTAGTTTTGGTTGGGTTAGCGGTGAGTCAATTTCCATCACACCAATTGTCAATCATATCCTGTATTGTCTGCGCTTTCCTGCAAACTGCCGGCAGAGATGGGGCCGTGACTAGACAGGAGGACGGGTCAATTTGTATGGAAAATTTTTTCAACCGTAGGCGTATAGCATAGGAGGATTTTATGAGTAATTCTAATCAAACTTGCCAAACAGACTATGGGTCTAAAATCAATTAGGAGCTTGCCAAATTGTGAAAATAGTTTTCTTTTACTAAGCACTTTTCTGTAGTATCGTAAAGAAGTGCTCAAATGAGGTTTCTTTTGCACAGAAATAAAACTAATGGGGAAATGCCTTTCCACTGATACCTCAATAGTCTAAGTCGGAATAGCTTTGGCCCAGTTATTTAAATTTTTATTAAACACATCTTTGAAAAAAGTTAAAAAAACAGCATTAAAAATGTCATTATTACGATTCCGTTGAAAATATTTTTAATTATTTGTATGCAGATATTTTAAGCTTAAATTTTTTGTCATCTGAAGAGGGGTTTTTTCCAAAACGTTTTTTAAGACACTATTTTAAAAAACTTCACTTTTGCAGGTATCTTCAAATCGATCCAGCTCACGTAAATCTTAAAAATTTTTTAGAAGTATGTTGGGGACGTCTTCAAATATAAAACGTTTTGTAATCCCGGCAGAAAACCCGCAACTTTTTTTGTGATGCAGTCTAATGTACATACCTACATATGTACATGTGTATGCCTGTAGTTTGTATTGAATTTTAGTTGTATGGAAAACAATTTTCAAGGATAAGTAAAATGTGCGTTTTTTTTTTATTTTAACATGTAACAAAATGTGAAAAATTTCACTTTTGCAGCCTCTTACCGTACTACAGCAAAATCCTAAATGAACGAAACCTATTTTCGCAATTTTGTAAACCCGAAATTGATTTTAGACCCATGGTTCAAAAAGAGCCCTTAATGTCAACAAAAATGCGCAAGGCGGATTCTTTTCTATTGATGGCATTGCTAATTCGTCTCACAGCATATATTATGGTATTTTCATTCGCTACAGTTCTAGCAACAACTTGGCACAATGGCTCTCGCACTCTCTCCTTCTTTCCTTTCCAGGAAAGTAATTCTGAATTGAAGAATCATTAGGCCTTTTGAGGGAACCCAGCTTTACGGTTTGGTCTTATTTCAAACCTTTTACCAGCCTTGCCGTTTGACCCAAAGCTTCAATCCATATACCAATAGTACACTGAATGAAGTGATGTGATAATCAAGATAAAAACAAACAAAAAATTTAATTTGCATGTTGCCTGCAATGGAATTCGAACCCTGCCCTCCTCTGGATATCGTTAAATTGGGGCAAGCATGTTTGCGGACTGAGTCCGGGCATAGTGGTGTTCCGTAAAGTGAGATAACGGATGAATGTGCTTGAAAGTGATCTGAAATGGGACGTATGGAAGCGGTCTCTAGATAGTAAAACCTCTGCTGCGATTTCTGTCTTCAGAAGTTGAGAAAGTGATCGGGCAGCCACCATTATTATATGGAATAATCTATACACCCGCATGGTATCGCCCTCGCTCTGGCCACGACTTGACAAATGAAGAGTTTATTAAGGCGTTAGGCTTCTCACAGGAGTACTAACGGGATACTGGACCATGGCCGTATAACGATTTATGCATAATATGCAGAGATGAGGAGAGGATAGAATCCGCTTCCTCTGCGAATGATCAGCACTCCGAGGAAAACGAGTCAAATTTTTTTGGTGACCACTTCATCGATAGCCTACATATCTAAGGAAAAGCCCCACTGGAATAACTGCTAAGACTCGATAGAGAATCAGGATGGTTCAAAGACGTATAGGGGTAGCCATGGGAAACTTCCGGGGCATCGCAATGAGCCTTTGTGGCCTCCAAGTGAACTTTTTTCAGAGCTGCACGCTTAACTTAACCTAACGGTTAAGTTTTTCAGACAAGTATTTGTCGAGCCTTGCTCACTTTGTAAGGCCTAGGCAATAGATTTCTGTTTTGCTTTGAGCTTTTAAAGGCAGGTCCATGAATTCCTTGCGCACCAACTCTGTCCTCCAACCTTCAACCGTCTGTATACCCGTGTACGTATATGTATATCTGTGATCAAGTGCAGGGCGCCCATTTTCCAAATGTTTGCGATCGAGGATTTTCACATAAAACTTTTTGCCAAAGCAGATTCCTTTAGTCATGCAATCAGAAATTCCACATATTCCCAACCCTGGTATCTTCTCAGGAATACATGCATGCAGCTTCTTTGTGTAGAAGCAGTTGTTCGATAATCGGAGTTTGAGGCCACGCGAACAGCTGCAGTTGTAACGTCCGAGAGAGTGCTGACGAATTCTTTCGTAACTATAATTTTATTACTTGCTTTAATTATATAGGAAATCACCGATATCAAATCGTACGATTTGCAGCACTTTTCCGAATATTTTAGAATGCCGTGCCGCGTTTTTTTTTGTACGATTTGCCATATGTATATGTTTATATATACAATATAAACTGTAGCGCAAAGCACAGCCATACTACTAAAAAACTGTTATCCGGCTAACAAACACTTTACAGCCTAGGTGGCACGTGTTGCACATTGCACAAATACATACATTCAAATACGAACATTCGTACACAAGCAAAATAAATGTTAATAATAAAAATTACTTTTTAAATGTTATGCCAAGCGGAACGATTGTTGTTGCTTGTTATTTTTTTATACACTTTTTACAATACCTACATACAGGCATATTAGACTGCATCACTCCCTAAACAAAAAAAAATAAAAAATTGGGACTGTGTTTCCATTGGAATTATAAAATCTATTATATTTTAAGGCGTCCACCAAAATATTTCGGAAAAATGTTAAGATTGCCGGATTTTTATTCATAAAAAAACTTCATTTTTGGAGGTATTCTCAAATCGTTTCAGCTCACGTAAATATTAAATATTTTTCCGAAATATTTTGTTGGATGTCTTCAAATATAATACGTTTTGTAATCCCGGCGGAAAAACCGCAACTTTTTTTGGTGATGCAGTCTAATGCATATGTATGCACCAACACACATACATATTTTACTAGCACACGCGTTACAATTCCGTGCACAAATTTTACCGCTGTTAGCGGTTTTTATGGGTGAAATCTGTTGCCGGCAGTTATGTACGTATTTTCGCTTTGCAGTTGTTTTCGGTCATGTATGTTCTACTTTTCGTGCTTCTTTTTGAACTAACCGCAGCCACAACGTGCTGGTAATATGTATGGAAGTGGTACACATGTACTAACTATGTATGAGCACTTTACTGTATTCATGTGCTGTGAAATTAGCATTTCAAATTAAATGCTGAAACATATTTTTAGGCGTAAAATCTGTAACTAGCTTAACAAGCAAAGAACGCTCATGCAAAAAAGTACAACTTACCTTACGGTATCTGCAATGCGATGGTGCGGTGGCGGTGGCGGTGGCTCTCTAATAGCGTGCGGGAGTTGTGCGTGGGCTTTTAAGTAGCGGTGGAGGTGTATGTGTGTGTGTGTGTAATTGTGATTGTATGCATGTATGTATGTTTAATAATATATGCATTATTTAGATTTAGCACCCCCTTCCTCGATTATTTTATGTTAGCTTTTTTCGGTTTAAAATTTGATTTTCCTATTAAATTTGGCAATTGCATTCAGTCGTCACTAAGTGTGTGATTTTCTTTTATTAAAGCAAGTTTTTTTGCTGCCTTTTTCGTTGTTCGAATTTTTCCGACATTTGTGTTGATATTCGTATTTCTTAGCTTAATTTCCTTTACAACATCTCAACCATTCCACTCGCATGCATCTGTTGAGTTCGTGCAAGAACTGCTGATGTGCTACATTGTCAGCCAGGAAAAAAAGATTTAAGACCTTAATGAAGCTATTGTACCAGTTTTTTCGAAACCAACAACAAACGGCCAATCGAAGAATATGAACAAATGAAGCAAAAAGTTTGGGACACGAATTCGTAAATGCCTTGCATATGTAAATAAAAACACCTGAAATAAGTTCATGTTGGAATTGTAAATTACTTCCAAAAAAAAAACTACACATACATACATAGGAACAAAAGGCCAGCCTCAAAAACTGCCGAAAATTTAAAAGGAAAAAATTTATTTCAGGATACCTTCACCATATTGCTTATTTAATTAAAGTAGTAAATAAGGTACTGTTTAACAATTTCTAAATGACTCATAAAAAACACAGCTCGTTTCTACTGTGAAACAAACTTACGTCTTGCAGGCTGAGCTATTCAGTATTAACGATTTGCATACACGCAAGTTTAAAATAGTTTCTCACCAAAGTAAATTGTTTGCTGGTGTTATTTGGCAGCTGAACCTTCATCCTC